ACCATTCTGTACCCCCCACTGCGGTCCACACTGTGCAACTTTGAATGGTCAGAGATGGAGAAACAGTCATCTGCAACCTGCAGGTTGCGGGGGTTTCCAACCCCAAAGCATCATTGAGTCGTCAGACTGGGCCCACCAGCCATGTGGTGCACCCAAATGGTGCTTCAATGGGCCATATATCTGTGATTTCCATTGGATGGGAATCAGTTTGGAACCTCCAAACTGACTATCATCTATCATCACAACGGCCATGGAAATGAAGAAGGCAAAGGTGTTGAAACCATTTAAAACCCACCTGTTTCAGCCTGAAATTGCTTCAGATTTCTGGCCTGTGAATCGGATTGGGCTCAAAGGACTGACTCCCAATAAGTGGAGGTTTCCCAAAATAAGGGTACCCCCAAATCATCCATTTATAGATGGCTTTTCCATTCTGAACCATCCAGCTATTGGGGATGATTTCAAAAACGCGAAAATGACCCCAAAAAATGGCGGGTCCCTTTTTTGAGGACGCCCAAAAGGTGACCCACTGCGAGTCCCGCACCACTTCCCAAAACGTGAGGAGTTGTTGTTCCTGACCTTGGCGGATCCCTGGATCTGCATGATCCAAATTGATCAAATCTGGCCGCCCCGGCCCCAAAAAATCCATGGAGTCATGGAGCCACAAGTACTGGCGATGCCCAAGCGACGGTCATAGCATTTCCGAAGGATTCAAGCACCGGATTCGTTTGCATGATCTTGTCCTTCCAGGCATTGGAGGGATCCACGGGAAAGTTGATGCAAAAAAACATGTCTTTCGCCAGCAAAGAATGGGGTGTACTGTTTTTTTACCAATGCAATGATCCAAACAACCAAGGGCTAAAACATTGTCAAACCCATCTTCAAACCCTGTCAAGCCCAAGTTGTGAGCCATCTACGGGTTCATCTCTCTTTGGGGAAACGGATGCTTCGTCAAACTGGGCCTAGCAAGGACACCGCTACTTACTACACAAGAAAGAAATAGAAAGAACATAGATGTTGTCATAGAGGACACCCATGTTGTTCGTAGGAATGGATGACTTTCGGTATGGTCTGTGCTTTTGAAATCGCCAATTGGCTGAAATCAGAACGTAGAGTATCTTTTACAGCGAACCTAAAGAAATGGGTCCAAAAGTCCAAAATCAAGTTGAAGTTCCCAACCTTTAGATACCTTTAGTTCATTTGTGTGCTTTTGTTTGCTTCGTGGTGATCTCACGGCAGATCACGCAACGGGGCCTGAATGCCTGGGCCAGAGTCGCCTCCGCTAAAGGCCTAGCGAAACTGGTCGTCGGAGTTCCACTGTTCATTGTCATCATCATTGTCATCTTGTTCACCATGTTCATCATTGTCGTCTTCATCGTCTGCATCATCTTTATCATCTTTATCAAGATCATCAAAATCATCAAGATCACCAAGATCATCAGCATCAAAATCAACATCAAGAAGGGTTTTCATCATGGACTTGGATTTGTCTGTACATTCAGGAGAGAAAGCCCAACATATCCAACAGATGTTCTTATCAGCATGTTCTCCGCGATGCCATCAGCCTGGCTGGTTCAATCGTTCAACCCACCTCAGAGATAAAGGACAGAACCAACTTGGTGGACTCCGTCTTGCCTGGATGTGAACCAAGCATAGTGGGGATACACTTCGGATCGCTTCGGATATCTTCGGATACCTTCGGGGGATACACTCCCGATATACAACAGGAGATTGGTGTTGCCCCAATACATGGACATCCAATAGAGGGCTGTTACCATGGGTTTGGAGTCTTCCTATAATTTTCAGACAAACCCACATGAAAGTAGCTTGAATGTTTGGGGCTCGAAACTTACACGTTAAAGATGGCTCTCTCACAGGTAACTTCAAAACACCCAACTTTGACAGGTGACAGCACCTGTTAATCTGTCCCATGACTATCAACAATGTCTTGCTGGGTAAAAATACGTAAAAATACAGGAGCCGGTGCGTGGTATACCATTTACTATCATTTACCTAGAAATGTGGGAAAAAAAAATGGTGGTGACCCCCCTCTCTTGATCACTCAACCAGTGGGAGAATCTGACACAGATCTCGCCCACCTGCACCCGACTCGCCACTGATCAGCACGGCCTGCGGTTCATAGGAGGGACCTATCCATCTTCACCCCAAGATGTTTCTTCAGCGGAAATGATCTTCAAACAGACTTGGGGCTGGGAGATGATGGCCGTGGTTTCAGGGTGAATCAACAATCGGTCATGGGACGATCAGGATCAACCAGGGCACCTGGTTCTTTCCATCTCCTCCTAGGTGAAACACCGCGTCTTGACGCATTGATATTGGTGACCTACATGGGACTTACACACCATTTTGATCCATTTTGGGTCACCTCAACCTCAAAATCCGGAATCTCTATATCTACCCTCCAGTAGATATATCGAAACCATGGTTTCCCCGAAAAATGAACGAAGAGGATCTACATGTCGGGTGGTGTTTCATGGTTTTCCCATGTTTTTCCAAACGTTTACATGTGACATGTGGTGATCTCCCTGTCAAAAAGGAGTCTTGAAAGGGCACGTGCAGCTCTGGTGGATTCAAAATCAATGGGGTAACCTTTTCACCATTGGGAAGCCATGGGAAACCTATTAAGAAGACCTAATGGATCTAGTTTGACCATTTTCGGGTATCCTTAGGAAAGCCCCCATTGATGTTGATCCACCCAGTGATCAAACAACCATTTTGTCCAGGAAAAATCATCATTTGTTCCAGATAAATCGCTGTGTCAAACCTAATGCCTAACTAGCTGGAACCAGTTTCTCCACCGAAATTTGCATGCCAGGGGTCTTCTCAGCCCATTCACGGCATCCAGCCCAACGGCATATCTCAGTGGCGGCTGTACCCTCCAAGATTTGGTCTGTCTCAAGAACTGGTTCAGGAGGCATTTTCAAGTCGACCCTGATACTTGATGTTTAAAAAATGGTATATAGAAGATTCATAAAACGTACAAATACACTGGGTTTCTGATACAGTAGAAGTTCTCTGCAACCAATCCATTGATCTTGGGAACTGAAGCTACTGGTGTCCAGCTGCCTCTAGCTGTTTTTCTCAGCTGCTGACATATGGGGTGGCAATTCCTCAGCAGAATGTGTGGTTTTAAAACCTGGTCCCATGTCTGAAATGTGTGGCTCTTTCCGTTGCAATATGTCCGGACTTCACTCTTGACCTATCAACATGCTTCAAAACCCGCAACATCATCCTTTTATGCGGGTTGGTTGATAGGAATTCCCAGTCATGGATTGTGATAATCCCTAATTAACATGGATAATATAACATGGTATAACCATGTACAACCCTTATAATTCATCCATCAACATGTTTTTTTCACGCAGAGGCATCACGTCTCAGGACGTCTCGAAATCAGAGGTCTCGTCCTAAGGCTGCAACCATCGAGTCGGGGGAAGACCTGACGTGCCGGCGGACTTCATCTTGTGTAATCCCATGCCCCGCAGCGTGGCCCTAGCTTTTTTCGGAAGTAGCCTCTGGTAAACTAACATAGCCTAGCTATAGAAAAGGGCCCTTTATAGTTGATTTACCTATTAAAATAGTGATTGTCCATAGCTATGTTAGTTTACCAGAGGGTAATTGATACATAACCACTAGAAGGTAAACTTTGTGCAGAACAGTTGCGGCTTGGCAACCAAACAATTGATTATTACATATTATTACCATCCCCCCCGGATATGAAACATCCCCATTATAGATTCTATGGTCCCAAATATGTGTACATAAATCACATTGTAAATCCCTACTAAAACATGGTTTCTAGGGGCAGTGTTTTATATCAGGGGGATAGAATTACTTGTGGAAACCTGGAAACTCTTTTCAGATCAGATCAACATAGATCAACAATGTCTGATTTGTCGGAGATCCAATCACCAGTTGGCATAGTCTCCAGCATTTCATACGCTGGGCTGACACACTTGTACCTTTGCAAATACTGCGCGCCATAGATGGGCCTCAGAACTCGGGACCCAGAATTTATAGGCCAAGAGTCGGGACCCACACAGCAAATGTTGGAAGATGTTGGAAGGCACCAACTTGGCTTATCTTGGCTCAAATTGCATCTCCTGTGCTGTTTTGCTGACATTTCTCCCATTACTCCCATTTACCCAGCTTCTTGTGCCCAGGTCCCTGGGGTTCTCACAGATTCTGGAAGGGATTGACAGCAATCAATATCCTTGCCACGCGAGAGTACACCTGAATGGGTCGAGCGCAGGGGAAACCATGGGAAGCCAATAGCTTTGGGCTTCCTTGCTTGTGGCACATGCCAATACGCGGTGTTGTGTATGCTGCAACCATCAATAGCAGTAGTATATGCCGCAATTGCGTCTTCTATCCTCTGCAAATGCAGCAGAGAAACTTCCTAACAGAAAATCTACTGGAAGACCTGGCAATCACAGCGGAATCCTGTTCAGCTTGCACAGCATGTTCTGCAAGACGTTTCCAACGGGTGCACCATCTGAACAACAGGAAATCCGAAGGCGAGTTGGTTTTGTTCCTGTTTGGATTGCTCTTCACCACTGGCTCCTGCCTGCTGCTTCCCATACCGCACTCGAACGGTGTGGAGCAACGCAGCCTTGTCAACTCGCTGCCAACAGTCACCATGGCTATGATGTACTGTGATGTGTTATGACGTACTGGGTGCATGTTGCCACTGGCACCTATTGGCACCTCATGTTTGGCCTCTTCGAACCCCAATCTGCTACAAGCTGCACCTTGTTCACCTCTTCCAGTGTGCAAATGTCATCCACCCCTGCCAGGGTTCTTTGACCCGCCGATTTCTACTTGCTGGTTGATAGAGGTTCCCAACGTGGATTGCAATAATCTCCATTAAACATCATTACACTACCCAGTAGAACTCTCTATTACAATCAATCACCAGGGGTTTGGGTCACTGCTCATTTAAGCATCATGGAATCATGGTCAGAATAGAAAGATGTGGTTGCCTAAAGTGTTTTCCGGATCCAAGACCTGTGAGCTGGCGGCATCACAATGCATCGCATTAAACACCCCCATTCTATGGTCGCAAACGTCACGATTTCATCGCCTTTTACCATGATGACTCTGGGGGGGATGTTAAATACTAGGGGGATAGGATTAGGATGTGGTAAATCCTGCAAGAGTCTCAGCACTCCGCCTAGAAGTTGAGCATCGAAAACCTGCGCAAAGCGGCCAGGCCAGGAGTTTGGGGCAAGCCCCATGGCCCTATGATTTCCGATGATTTACGATCAATTACTGGCTTCCCAACCGCATTTTTTGAAGCCATTTACGAATCAATCTCTATTCGTCAGATTTCACAATGAATGTATCTATTCGTCAGATTTCACTATGAATGCATTTATAAACCAAGAAATATTCCATAATCTATTCACTAATCATTCCTCATTTCTCGCATCTGAAGCTGAAGCAGCAGCACATTCGCCACATCAACCTGGCGTTGGCACCTTGGGCAGCTCCGGTAACTTGCTGGCTGGAAGCTTTATCACCTCATCGGCCTCATCCTTGAAGGTCACTTCCGCATCTCCCAGGTTTTGAAGCCTCGGAAAGTTCGCTGATTGGACTCGCTGTCCGAAATCAGAATTTGGCATGATTACCCCCAAATAAATGCCAACCCAACAAAATGATGAACAATACTGAACTGAAGAGAGACTCATGTAGATGAGGAGCCATTTGTGACATGGTGACAATGGCCGAAAAAGCTCGGAAATCAACTAAATCAACTTTGAAATATATCAAAGTCATCCAAAGATCCAGGGGCTCGGCTGGCACGGAGCAAAAGCGTGCTGCGGATGTGGAACCTTGCAGCGAAGCTGCGCGACCCGTCTGTTAAGGATACCATAGGATAGCTATTTTTAGCAGATCTCATATTGCGACTTGATGACAATGGCCATCAATGGTCACCAAACTAATCAGATGATTTTGGGGGTATCCTATTTTTTGGCCATGTTATACATGTATGGACAGTAAATGGTTGTAACATGCTGGAGCGGTTTTTTCCATGTCGTTTTACGCAGGGTGATCCAGATTGGTGCTTGGAATTCCTGCGATTCCCATTGGCCCACGAAGCTTAAATGGATTTATTCGAAGATATCTTCGTGTCCCAAATTCTCCTCCCAACAATGGACAATGGATGTAAAATATTCGTTTTGCGAATCTCACACATTTTTTGGAGGCAAAGGCACCCAATAGCGCTCCATGGGCTTTGGCAGTTGCGAGCTCCAAGCTCCTGTGCGCACCAAACCCTTGCGCGGTTTCCCATAGAATGTTCCCTGAAAGGCAGTGATTCATGGTCTGTCGCCAACAGACCAGCAGGTCAGGGATCACCCTGGTGGATCCCCACAATCTCCTCAGAGTTCGCCGAAGTTTTCCGTGCGATGCATTGAAAAGAATGCGTTCTACGAAAGTGTCTGTAAACTGACTCTGAATGCCGGACGCTTCTCTTGAAGGCTCTGCTATTCAAATATTGAGTGCACCAATATTCTCCTCACTTGGGAATGACTCAACCACAACATGTTGAACGAAAATCCTTTGTCTTCTTATCAGGTTCATCGGGTCACGCTGCAGCCAAAGCTGGGCCACTTTGAGCCGAGCCAAGGAAGTATCACAAGACGTCTTGGAATTCAGGTGCACATAGATACGTAGAGGTTTCTGATGGTTTATGATAGTTTATGTGCATCGTTGTGCAACTATGTGTGTTTTGTTACAGTATACGTCTGTGTGTATGCTTGTATGTATGTGTCTGTATGTGCACAAAAGTATGCGTACGTTCCATGTGGTTGTGTAGCTTTGGGTGTATGAGCATAAACGTAAGTGCGTAGATATGCAGTCTTCAGCTTGTACAGGACCAGGTACGGCGCCCAGCGCCGTTTTTCCTCTTTTATCCCAATAAAACAAACATGGAACCACCGGAACCACTTGCCCACATTGAAAATCATAGCTATATAATGCTGTATAATCCTATATACATATGTTTTTTTTGCAGTTATGTTGATCTTACCCGGTCTACATACCGATACATACAGTGCCCATACGTGTAAGGCACCATCAGTCCATTTGATTTGCTGACCATCCTGACCATCCCCAAAAATAGATCAAAATAGGAAGATAGTTTTGTGACCTTGGATACCTTGAACAAAAAACAAGAAGGCCCAGCGTGTTTTCGACGCAGTTCTTTCCCTCCATCTCCATGGGAAGTGAATGCAGGTTCACTGACGGTGGTACAGTGTCACAGTCTCTGAAAAAACAAAAAATACGATCTAACAGGGCATATTCAAACATTGAAGAGATGCACATTGTCTGTTAAATATCTGATAATTATCGCCAGGATGTATCCCTTTGTCACCATGAGTGTTGGTAAATATCCTCAATATCATCGTGACACAGTGGACCCTCAAGCAGCTGGTGGATACTCGGTCTCATGGTGCCTGGATCATCACAAGGTGTGATGACTTTGAACCAGCGATTTCCCTATTTCCCCGCAAAGCCTGGTGAAAAAAGACAACAAGATCTGACAGCATGGCCAAAGATATGCCAGGTTTGCCATTCTCGATTTCTGCCAGGGAGAAAGAGGCTCCTGCCAAACATTCTCTCAAGAAAAAGTGATACTCGAAGTTAAACACATTGAAACAAGCATGGCTTGAGGTTGTACCCCCTTTTCGAAAAGCTCCAGACATCTGCAGGTCATGGTTGCTGGCTCCTCCATCTGTCTCGAAGATTCCATCTGCTGCTTGGTGTATGCCTTCCAAGTCGCCGGTCTCTGACGTTGTGATGGTATCCCCATGTGGCTTTGTCTACAAATTGGCCACCTACGGTGGGTAGTGCTTCATGTTGTCTCATTATTTCATGGTTAATCATCATGTTCCCCATTCAATGGCCCCCCCTAGTTTTAGACAAACCCATATCATCCGGTAATTATCTATTCATGAGATCCACATCTTTGTTTATTGACATACCGTATACCCGTTAAACATTGAAGATAGCCAACCCAGATGCCGGATGAAACTCCTGGCTTGTCCTTGGCGCGCCTCCATGAAGGTTCCCAGATCACCGCAGCGATCAACAAGATCATAGCACTTGAGATCCTGCGCAAAACCAGGCATACAGTACCAGAAAACTTGGGACAATTGCCATCAAAAACAAGACATGTCCCTTTTAAGGATTGGATTTTGGGGAGGTCCAAATTTTCATTCTAGCCCTATATTTCTGGAATGCCAGCTCTTTGCAGTCTACGTTTTTTTTTTATTTTGCTGCTGGAAGCTCAACCAGAAGTTTGAGTGTGCACCGAAAGGCACCTCGCCTATTGCATCACTCTCATCAACCGGTCGTTCGGACCGTCATGATCCATCTTCCAAAGCACTGTCACATGCACGTCTTCTACGCAGCTGTATATGTGACAGGTGCAAACGCAAACAAAATTGAAATCACCGAAGCAAGGCGATTAGCTCCGCACACCGTCTTAGCGCATATCTAAGACATTTATTATGTGACAGAGCAAAATTAGGCAAAGACTATACACAGTAACTTAGGACCGCAACATTCAAACACACCAGGAATTCACCCAGAATTTCTCAGGGGCAACTCCGTTTTGTTGCGGTTTGGGCCGACGTTTCTTGTCACGCCGGGACCGTTGTTGGTTTCCACCGCAGCAGTCGTCACACAGTCACCTGTTTTGGGAGGCCATAGTCATCATAGGCGGAATCTCCGTGATACTGGTCCAAGCCCACCTGGATCATGACCCTGGACGACGCCCTCCGGAAATTTAACATGGCAGCCATGGCCCATTTATAGATCATTAGCCCATTAAAACTGATGATTTTTCGATGGTTGTGTTAAATGACCAGTAGGATCCCCATTCCCCATTTTTGGTTGGGTGAAATATGGTGAAATGATGTTAGATGATGTTAAATGACCAGCCTGTTGATGAAATTCCCATGAAACAGCTCGCTATGATTCTTGCTGTTTCAGTTCCACCTTGTCAGCGATGGGCCGACTGATGCCATCCTTGGAATGCACCTCTTGGTACATGTCATTTGCAATCTGAAGCGCCTCCTGAAGAGAAGGTCAGGGGATGGGGGTGGAGCTTCACCCAAAATGTGTCCAAAAAAACGGCACCAAGCATTCCACAAACTACCCTTTTGTAATGGTGGTTGAATCATGTTGAATCAAATATTGCTCATTTGCAAATTTCAAATGGTTGACCAGTTTGAAAGCTGCAACAAACATTGGGCCGGCTTCTGGTGCCAAGCCATTGAGTCCAGGTCTGGCCTGATGACTCTTTCCCGCCATGCGATGGTGGGAGTAGCGCACTTCGTGCACCAAGACTGGAAGCCAGTAGTCAAAGAAGGAGTCAATGACACCTTCGAGCTGTGTTTCACATTTATTTCAAAAAAATCCTAGAACTCTTTCTGGTCTCACCCGATGACACTAAAATGTTACATACCAGGAAGACTTGGCGTTACAGTCCTTAGACGTCTTAACATCAAACACCAACAAAATTTGGATTAATTGTGGGATGATTGTATGCAATGACGATTATATACCCAATCAAACATGGTAATAGAAAATCCTCCATTTAGTTCGATGATGTTCCCATTAAAATGCCCAGTTCTAATTCGGGGATTTCCCAGCCATGGAGCGGATGACACCAGATGCTGTCTGCTTTTGGCTCTTACTTATCACCTACTAAAAAGACCGCTACCCGCATCCCACCAGCCACCTAAGCCTGTCAGGCTTGCCCGGCCCGCAGCAAGCGGCGATGCTGATGAAACTCCCCACATGGGATGCTCCACGCCGTCCACTTTCTCCGGTTGAGATGGCCCACCTCCCGACAGTCTTTTGCAAAATTCAACAGCACATGTTTTAAAATAATGAACTATGTATACGTACGTACATACATATATAAACCATATATATGTACATATATACATATATACATATATATACATATATATATATATATATACATTTACATTTATACATACATATATACATATATACATATATATATAAACATTTACATATATACATACATACATGTATATATATACATATACATATACATATATATACATATATACATATATACATATATACATATATACATATATACATATATACATATATACATATATACATATACATATATACATAAATACATATATAAATATATACATATATACATATATACATATATACATGTATATACCATATATACATACATACATATATACATGTGTACATATATACATATATGCATATATACATACATACATACATACATTACATTACATTACATTACATGACATGACATTACATTACATACATACATACATACATACATACATACATACATATATCATATTTATACATGTACATAAATGCATATACATATATATATATATACATGTATACACATCTACATATACATATATATATACATGCATACATATATACATATTTGCATATATACATGTATACATGCATACATGTATACATAGTACGTATGCACATATATACAGATATACATATATACATATATGGATACATATGTACATATATACATATATACATATAAACATATATATATATACATACAAATATGTACACATATGTATACATATATATATAGACATATGTATACATATATATACACACATATGTATATATATATATATCTAAATGAATATATGCATATACATGTGTATATATATATATATGTGCATCATTTAATTTGATACAGTAGCATACTAAATATCATATTTCATTTGTGTTTTGATACAATATATAATATATTTACATCTCCTGAGTCCTAACCTATCTTTCTCAATTTCATCCCTCTGCAATTCGACCTGTTGAAATTGAAGCTTCCACCCAAGCCGTCAGGAAGTGGTAGGGGTTGTTGTACCACAGAATCACCCGATAGATTGGTAGCTGACAGCTGTTGGACGCCACATGTTGCTCCGTAGAGTTGCCGTCGCAGCCTCAGAGGAAACCATGGGGTTTACCTTGATTTCCTGTGGATGGATTATGTGTCCTTTCATATTTATTCCATCAACCACCCAGATTTGAGCAGTTCTCCCAAAAACTTCATCCTTTTTGACTGCTTGGTTGATATGGATTCCTATACATAATGTATAAAAATCATCATCCCCGCCAAAACCTAAAAGTGTTGAGCATTCCCAGCCACTGTTGGCATGTG